TCTGCAGGTGCACAGGTCCGGGGGGGGGATGCCACCCACGGGAGAGATGGAGGGAGTATTTGAGGATGTTTGTGCATCTACACGACACATACTTTCACGAACACGTCAGAAACAGAAGGCGAACGATTCCACTCTCTTTCAACAAAATCCCGGCCGTCAGGAGACGGTCCCGTGAATGACACTCATCACACAGTTTCTTGACCTGTACTTCCAAAGTAGAGTACCTCACTCCCCACGTCCCTGCTCAGTGTTTGCCAGTGACAAAGTACAAGGCAGAGCCCGGGACCCGGGATCCCCGTGACCTTATCCAGGCTCCTAGGAGACAGCACGCAGGGTCAGCTGTGCCCGACGCCTCAGAAACTCGTCCCTTAGAGTATGGCACGTCCTTCGGGACCCCTGATGAAATTCAGCTAGGTAGCAACGCAAGTATTTTTACAACCTATGTACTAAATGTACTAAATGGCTCGCGGCACAGTAGCAACATGAAAAAGCAATGTACAGAATCCTAGGGCCGCACAAAGCTGTCGATTTTCGCAGGGATGGGATGCTAATTTATAGGTTGCCACAGAAATAGAATCTGATTTTCTAGCTGTGCCTTATATTCTGTGGTTAATATAAATTAATGCAAATGCGGGAGAGAAAACAAAAGCTATATTGTACATAATTAAACACATTAACAAAACACAAGCGCATCTGAATACTAATATTTGTGTAACAGTTGGGCCTTGTGTCCCTGAATACGGCTGTTTGTGAGGGCACAGAGAAGGCGTTCCTGTCCTGAAAGTGGCTTCTCTGAGCACACAAGGGGCACGGGGACACTGAAATCTGTGATGTGCAGCATTTTGGGTAGGGACAAATGCAGTTTTAATTTGTCAATTAATATCAGCTTTCATCGAATTACAGCCCAATGTAGTCTTTTTATTGAGACTCGAAGTGTGGAGCATAGCAATTTAGGGCACAATTTGTGAGCCATGAACCTGATTCTACCAGAACATGCACTTACAATGCTCTATTGTTGTTCAAATTCTACACGAATTCGCAATACAACTTTTTTTTTTTTAAAGCCCACCTCATCTAAATGCTAGGATGGCCCCCAGAAAGCTTCGGAGGGGCGACATATTGGACTTTTGAAAGTAATGCTGTTAAAATCACAGAATGGCTTCCTGGAACATCTCTGAGAAACAGAGACGTCACTCACTCGAGAGTGGTTTCTGGAACAGAGACACCCACCGAACCGGAGGGTGATTTTGGGGGAGGCGGTGTGTATTGTTGGAAGAAACTCAGACGTCCTAACCACAGCAAGTCTCCAGCTGAAGGTCCCAGTGGTCCCGCTGATCCCTGTGTGTCTGGCTCCTTCCCAGGCGGGGTGTCCTCAATCCGGCCCCCCTGGGTGATTTCTTATTTGACTGACTGTAACCATCTTCTTCTTTTCTTTTTCTTCTTCCTCTTTTTTTTTTTTTTCTGCCACTTTATGCTGGGGTTTTTGCTTCACCATCACCGCTGGTCCCAAGGCCGTGGGCTTCTCTGGTGGGATCCCACACTGTACCCAGGGCCGATGGAAGGACCGTACAAGGTTTCACGGTACATGACCTTACTTGCCCCCCGATGTCACGTGCACCAAGGACAGACTCGCCCGCCTGCTCTTCCGTTTGCCCTCCACCGTGTCCCACACGTGTGCCTCCCGTGTTGTTTGAGCTCTACGCATCCCATGCGGTGCGTGGTTGGCACTAGGTGCCCAGCAAGATCACAGCCATGCCGATGTGAGCTGGGCCGTTCCTCCCAGAGGAAAGAAGTCAAATCCCCGCCTCTTCTTTGCTAGAAGAACTTCGCCATTGGCATCGCTGCTGTTAAACTGTTTTTTTTATATGCTTATTTTTAAGTGAAGATTTCCCTTCGGTCCTGAAAGGCCCTGCAGCAGGGTCTAAGCTCTGGCTCAGAAACGAATTTCAGTTGTATCATCTGACTCTTTCCGGCTATGCAAAGGGTTTGTAATAGTCTAAATGTAACCCGTCAGCGTGGCTCTGAGGTACCAGCATGAGGAATTCAGTCTCCCGGCTCTATTCTTTCATCAAGTCCAAATCCAAGTTTGTGTGTCAGGCCTGATTGCTCGTGATGTCCATGGTTCACTGAGTGGGACGCACCTGACAAGCTCTGGGACCGCCAGACCGCAGCTGAGCCCGTGGACAACAGAGAAACTGCCATCGCCGCATGCTGCGGACAGCAGTATCCGGAGTCAGGGCCAGCGAGGGCCCGAGGTTTGCAGGGCACAGCGGAGAAGGACCCTGCAGACCAGCCTCAACCTCTCCGACCGGACGATGGCTTTGGGCAGGTCGCTGAACTGGGCATCTGTGGTGATGACGTGGGACGATATGGCTACGTTCTTGCCTCAGATACCTTCAGGCCCCTTTCAGCAGCACGCGCTAGGGTTTGGCGAGCTGAGTTTTCACCCAGGGCGGCCGCTCCCGTACATGCGGCTGTCCCCAGAGAGCCCGGGACGGGAGGCCTTGGCTGACCGCGCTGGGTGTCTTCTACACATTATCAACAACCCTAACAAGCAGGTAGTTCTAGGATCGCTTTTACTCACATGAGGAAACAGACACGTAGGGAAGCTAAGCAGGACTCACTGGAGGACGCGGTGTTAATTCCAGGTCTACGATCGGAACACCACGGCTCCAGGCCTCGCTCGGGGTCTCTTCCGGCCCCGACGCCCCGACGGGCCTTACCTGCAGCTGGGCTCTTGCCTCTACGGGGAGAATTTAACCGCACACACTTGACCGCTAAGCCACGTGTGGGTCACAGCTGCTGAATGGAGAGGGACAGGCGTAGGGGCGGCAGAGGGACCTCACAGAAAGCCGCCCGTCCCGAGCGAGCAGCTCAGCCAGCGCCCCCACCTGCAAACAGGAGACCCGCCGGAGGCACCCCGCGGGCTCAGTGCACCCTGGGCTCCGGGAGCTGTGCAGGCATACGCAGAGGTGCCTCCCTGCA